GGGGGGGATTCGTTACTTTCCATTTCATTCAACTTCAATAGAGACAGGGTGCGAGCGGCACTCTCCACATTTCAGCTCGAGTGCTGCTCTCATCCTTTGCCTTGAGACACTCGTTAAAAGAGGGTACATACCTGAACTATTCATTGTGGTGACGGCTACTTGGCAGAGCGCTAGGTCATCCCGAGCGGTTGCAGGGGTTAATCAGGCCCTTATTGGGGTAGGCAAGGGTTGACTCAATGTAGTGTCTGTCTGTATGGGTGTGGGTGGGGGGATGGGGAGGTGGGCATGTCTGTGTGTGGTGCATATGTGCTTCCGTGGGTGCATGTGTGTGTGTGTGTGTGTGTGTGTATGTGCTTGACATCCTTCTTCATGCTGTCTCTGTGTGCAGGGTTGTGTGGGCATGTATTGCTCTGTGTGTGTGTGTGTGTGTGTGTGTGTGTGTGTGTGTGTGTGTGTGTGTGTGTGCAGTGCATGTGTGTCCCTGTGTGTGTGTATGTGCTTAACGTGCTTGTTCATGCCGTCGCTGTATGCCAGGGTGTGTGGGCATGTATTGCTCTGTGTGTGTGTTTGTGCTGCGTGTGTGCGTCCTCCTGTGTGTGTGTGTGTGTGTGTGTGTGTGTGTGTGTGTGCTTGCTTCTTCATACTGTCTCTGTATGATGGGGTGTGTGGACATGTAGTGCTGATGAATGTCAAATTCTTCTTAATTAACATCTTCACAACTAGCAATTCACAATTTAGAGCGAGCATTTATAATTCTTTGCAAGCATTTTGGAGGTTCTGCCGTTGCTCTTTGTGCAAACTTTTGCAGGATTATGCTCGAGAGTTTCGTCCTGCTCCCCCTCAAGAATCTGCTGTCTTCTCGTATTTCGTGCCTCCCTTAGTATACCCCCCTTCCCTTCATGCCCCGCTCCTCCCCTTTTCACACTCAGAAGGTCCATAGTCTTGGCCCTCTTCATCGCTTCCTTAACCCTTCTGCCCACTCGCACCAGGGATGTCTTGCATGTACTTTGTGGATAGCGACAACTAGATTCAGCTGAAAACGCCCTAGCACTTGGGGGGCATTTCTTGACCCGACTGCACCATGACTTTCCCTTTGTTGATACTACCTTCTTCCCCCGAATACAACGTACGGTCATTATGGCTGTATTTAGACTGAAAGATACCCCAAATACAGCTATAATTACCGTACGTTGTATTCGGGGGAAGAAGGTAGGCGAGCACTGACGAGCGTCGATGGGCATTGACAAGATTTGACGAGCATTGAAGACTGAGTTCGGCTGAACGCGCCCTCACATAAGTGCGACTTTGTTGGCCCAGCAAATACCAGGTATCTTTCTTTTTTGGGGAAAATTTTCGATATGCCTCTGAAAGTTCGATTTGTTTGCGGTGTGCCCCTCTGACAGCCGACTTACCCTGTTGCGCCCCTCTGACAACGATTGAAGTTCCCAAAAAACCTGGCGTTGTTTGGGCTGCTTGAAATATGTTCGATATGCCCCTACCAGTACCGGTTCCAAATTTCCAGTATGCCCCGGTAGCTCCCTTTCAAGGCCCAGGGGCACCGGCGCAAGTGACACCAACGGCAACAGGGGCATGCTGGAAAGTTGCGCCTGGAGAGTTTAGAGGCCCCAAGGGCACGGCAGGGTAAGTCGGCCGTCGGAGGGGCACGTGCCACGCGGCAAGACAGTCGAACTTTCAGGGCCATATCAAAAAAATTCCCTTCTTTTTTTTTGCTACCAATCAGTGCCCACCCTGATGAAAAGAAGTTATAAATGTATATTTTAAGACTTTTCCCTTCAAACTTCACCGGCGGGATTAAGTGACAGGAAGATCCGGCCTTATCATCCGGCATCCGGTTTATCCGGATTTCTGGATAAACCGCAAAAAGGGCCGGAAAAATTGGGGGGAGAAAAAGAAGGTAGGGGGTGTTTGCGCAAAGTACGGGCTGCCCAAGGTATGAACCTCCAAGGATTTTGGCCAAAAACTGTTTTCTGGCCATTCGATGTTGCCCCCCAGCGTGGCAAGCAATTGTGGATGGGGGATGAGAGCGGGTAGGGACCGCATGCAGACGCAGGCATATGTCAGATTCGCGTTCACTGTTTTATTGAATCATAGAAAGATTGATAGACTGGTTTGGTTTGTTCATTGATTGACTGATTGGTTTGATTCATTCCTCACATGATTGATTCGTTAATCCGCATTGTTGGAACTCAGCACACAGTGCTTACACACCTCACACACACACACACACACACACACACACACACACACACACACACACACACACACACACACAAAGGCTGAATCAGGTACACATGAGCACTGAAAGCCTAAGGTCCACACGAGCACTGAAAGCCTAAGGTCCACACGAGCACTGAAACGGTAAGTGAGGTAGACATACAGCACACACGTACTCAGAGCCTGAGTCACTTCCACAAACGTTGAGAGCCTAATTTAGGTTCACACAGACACACGCTCAAAGCCTGAGTCACGTACACAAACACACGCTGAAAGCTTAGGTGAGCTCCACATTCACGCACTGGAAGGCGAAGTTAGGTTACAACCATACTGAAAGCCTTAGTAAGGTCCACAAACACACATGTACAGAAAGCATGAGAGAGGTCGAAACGCACACACCACAAGCGTAAGTGCGGTCCACATACACCATGAGATCCAAAGTCGGGTACTGGCATACAAACACTCAAAGCGCAAGTCATGTGGAGATGACCTCTCTCCGGAGTGTGTGCTAGAGCCGATGCAGTTTCCACAAACGGAGGAACCTGATAGAAACGATCAATATCACATTGAATCTCCGCCTGCCGTGCAATCCACAGAAGTGAATGAACTGCCCCCTGCCGCACAACCAGCAGAATCATATGATCTCATAGTGCTGCAGCGAGGCTATTGTGCGTACTGTGCTATCAATGTAAGTCTCCTCGCTTACAATTGTAACCCTTACAGAGTTTCTGAATTTGCTGATATTGTCCGCTGGATAGAAGAAGAGCACCGTACTGTCTGCCCAGAGGATGACAGTACCGGTCCTGGAGTGAACATAGAGGTCTTGTCTATGGCATTTATGGGTAGAAGACTACAACTGCAGCCTGCTCCCCAAAACCACATGCCAGACATGAACCCAAATATTCGCACGCGCGTGCATCCTGCATTGGCCAGGACATTTCAGCGCTGTGACCTATGCAGACAATTCATGGGCCTTATGGGACAATGGAGGTAGGGTGCACACGGTAAGTAGCATTAACTCTTTCTATAACCAAGTAGCAAATACTCACTCAATTTGGATTATCCTTCAGGAACAATACGCTACTTCACACCCGCAAGTGCTTCAGTCTCTGGAGAGCAATCCGGATGTGCAATTACCTCCTTCCCCTGCACATGACCAGGCAGTGTCCCCTCCCTGTGTAGATCGGGCAGATTCTGCTCTAGACAATGAAAGAACCTCCTTAGAAGATGATGGTTGTGCCCTTCCATTCTGTAGCCGCACAGCCACAGTTCGGTTAGCATGCACAGTGCATAGTCTCTGCTCCGAACGAAGGGATGGTCACTGCCAGCCTCTGTCGCGAAAACTGTGACTCTTCGTCTTGTGTTCATCCCCCCCACCCCCTAATCGTCTGCCCAATATGTCGTTGTGGCCTTAACCTGCCATGCTTAAATAGCTGCGAACGTCAGCCTGCCTTCCTGCTGACATGTCAGCACCATGCCATGTGTCATCAATGTTTCCAGGAAGCTGTCATAGAAAGCATGTGCCTCTACTGCGTGGACTATCCACGATGCCATCATCCACCACATCCTCTCTTAGCATGTCCCACATGCAGAGTTGGGCATACCATTACTGCAAACGCCATCGGCTATGTTGCACGCTGGCCGCGGCCGGGTTCGGCCGAGGCCACGGCCAGTCCGGCCGAGTTTTTTCGGCCGACGCTGCGGCCGATCGGGGAGGGGGGTTGGGGGGCAGGGAACGGGTTTCGAGTCGGGGGGGGATCCCCTACCTCCTCGCAAAAAAAAAAACATAAAAACTTCAAAAACGGGGGGGTGGATTTCAATGACTACCGAAAAAATTAAATAAATAGAAAAAAAAAAATCCATTGATTCACTGTTTTTTTATTTATTGATTGATTGATTGATTTGATTGATTGATTGGTTGATTGATTGATTGATTGATTGATTGGTTGGTGGGGGAGGGGTCCTCCCTCCACTCCATGGCGCGCGCACACACACACACCCACACACACACCCACCCACACACACACACGAAAACCAGTATGGCAGTGTATATTCCCACGATGTAGCGCCAGATTCATTCATTTTTTATTTTCTTTCTTTTTTTTTTTTTTAATTAATTGATTGATTAG